CGCCCCCGGCCCGCGGCCCGCAGAGCAGCGGCGACCCCGCCATGCTGCCCAAGCGAGCCGGGCTCCGGACGGGCGGACTGGCTGGCAAGTGCGCAGTGCCGGCAAGCTGGCAGGGCTGCAATGCTCTGCGGCTGCGCACACCCGGAACCGGGCCCCCTCCTGCCCACCTCTTCCCGCCACTCTACGCAGGCGCAGCCTCGGGCTCTGGCAACCCCTCCATCCCGCCCGTCGGCAAGGAGATGCCCAAGAGGCAAGGTGGAGAGCTGAGCCCGCGCTGGCGGTTGCCATGGCAGTGGGAGGGCAGTTGCTGGGGCAACAGACCGGCAGGAAAAAAGACTCAGTGGCGTGGAATGGGTCCGGTTCCCCGCTCTCCCGCCTTGCGGAGGAGAAAGTCTACTCTGTTCACTGGATACACAGTTACTGATTGCCTGCCGTAGACTCATTTACACGGAGATAGGTTCAGTCCAGGTGATGTGACCGTGGACAGCTCAGTTCGCCACCCTAAGGCTCAGCTCCTCGCTTGCATGAAAGGGTTACTGGTAACTGTCTTCTCGGAGCGCTAAAGATGAATAGGAATGACATTCAGTGGGAGCTCAATAACGGCTGCTTCCATCCTCTCCTTGTCTCCTTGCCAGTGCCTTTATCTCTCCATTGCTCTCTGCGTTTCTCATTCTGTGTCCATAGCTCTCTCTGTGTGTCTTCCTCCCCCATTGGCCTCTCCTTGTCTCTGACTTTGTCTCCTTTCATCTCTCCAACCCCCTCCTGTCTCTGTCTTTATTTCACTGTCTGTATGTACTTGTTTTTCCACAGATGAATACAAACATACATACATACATACTTAGATTTTACCCCTACATTGTTTCAGGAATAATTTCAAGACACTTAAACTGATACATCAAAGGAATCAATATTTTGATTAAAATGCATGTGTAATCATACAGAAAAAAGTGTTGGGAAGGGCCGGGCATGGTGGCTCACGCCTGTAATCCCAGCACTTTGGGAGGCAGAGGTGAGAGGACTGCCTGAGCACACAGGTTCGAGATCAGCCTGGGCAACATGACAAGACCTTGTTTCTATAATAAGTTAAAAAATTGGCCGGGCTCGATGGCTCAGCCTGTAATCCTGCGCTTTGGGAGGCCGAGGTGAGTGAATTGCCTCAGCCCGTGGGTTTGAGACCCACCTGGGCAACTTGGCGAGACCTCATCTCTACAATAAATCAAAAAAATTAGCCGGGTGTGGTAGCACACACCTGTAGTTCCAGCTACTCGGAAGGCTGAGGCGGAAGGATCGCCGGAGCCCAGCAGGTCGAGGCTGCGGTGGCTGGGAGCGGCCACTGCACTCCAGTCTGGGCAACAGAGTGAGGTTCCAACTCAAAACAAAAACAAAAACAAAAACAAAAAACAAACAAAAAACAGATCTAGTCCATCAAGTGTGCAGATAGGGCACGTTAGCTATGTTTGCTTTTTGCAGAGTACTATATTTGTGTCCTTGGGTCCACGGAAAGCCCAAAGTGCATCTACCAATCCATCTGGGGGGAAGTCAAGGCCATAAATTAGTACCATAGAACCGAATCTCACTGAGAGCTCGCTAGTATACCCCTGGGCTTTGAGTCCAATTGGTGGCAAATAAATCACTGTCCTTAAGGACAATAAGGTTTTGGCATTGCTCTTTTTCTAACAAAATTTATTTTATTTTAAATATATGTGGTATCTTTAAAATACCACACATCACAGTTAAGTATACAAGCAAACATTGTACAGGTAAAGTTTGGGCCTCCCTTTGGTCCCCACTCTGCCTAGTTTGAGATCAGGTACCCTTATTGATGTTTTGTCTTGGCATTGTTCTAAAGGGACCCAGCCCATGTGTTAGGTTGTATTCAAAAGATGCTGCCTTGAGTGGTTTTTTTGTTCCCAACACAAGGGGCTGGTTTGTTTAATTTGCCATATTCAGGTGAGAGCCATACATAGGTGAGAAATAAGAATAGTGGTTTAGCTGGGCTCGGTGGCTCAGCCTGTAGTCCCGCGCCTTTGGGAGGCTGAGATGAGTGGAT